GATAATTAATAGTTGAAAACATTTTTTATGTTCAAACAGGTCAAATTTATCTAAATTTAATTACATTTTATTCTCATTGTTTTTGTAGTTCTGTGTTCCGCCTGTAGAGGGCAGAGTTTATCTAAAAACTCAAACTGAAACTCAGAATTTATCCTTTTCTCTGATAAGTTTAACAAACARAACAAATTAATTAAAAGTTTCAGGATTTTTTCTCTAAAAGCAGCTCCTGATTGAGACAGTTATAAATCCTGTCTGTTTTTCCTGCTTCTCYGGAGAAAAATTAAAAATCTGAAAAATATTTTTAGCTTTCAGTTCAGTTCTGACTGAAACAGAAACTATTTTCTGATCAGAGCTCATTTTACAAAAACTAAACAGATGTTTAACATGAATCAGAACAAAAAAAATAACAATAATAATAATAATAATAATAATAATAATCAACTCCTGATAAATCCTTCAACATAAATGCTTAAATATATTCGATCTTTTATAGTTTTAGATGAAAAAGCACAAAAACATTAAAATGTTTTCCAGCAGCTGGCTTCAGGACTTTGTAGAATTATTAGTATTTTATAGGTTTGTTAGTATTTGTATAGAGATATATCGTATTTAGCAGTGATGTTGGGGTCGACACCTCCTGTTTGATCCTGTTTCGACACTAAATGAAGCAGACGTGTGGTGATGGTGTTTGGATCACGTGACTCCAAACGAGGCCTCGTTACGTCACATCGGTGTTGAACTGTTTCAACTCAGGACTTTTAAAAAAGGATGTTTTTTTAGAGATGCTATGAAAGTGTCTTTATAACCCATCTCAGCTGAAATAATGTTATTTTTAAATAAAAATTATCTTTGAGCCCCCCGCCCTCTACTGCACAAAAAATATCCATTTTACTCCTTATTTTAACATACATTTTAGTAACTTAGTATTTCTTCCAAAGAGTATTTCTGTGATGATCCAGTTGAATAATTAACTTCTGTTTTAGGTATCAATATGTAGAAGAAAGTTGTGTGGAGTATTTGTAAAAAGGAAATAACACAAATTTCAGAACTGCTGTGTGATCATGATATTTTACAGTAATATTATTATTCTTTAAAAACAGTCAAATTGTTCAGGATGTGTGTAGAAGCTTTATTATACAGAACAGAGGCTGACTGGTTCACAACACGGCTTGTCCTTCATCGTTTCATGCAGCTGTAATGTTAAAGCTTGACCAGCAGGTGGAGCAACTCTTAAATGTATCAAATGATTCAGTGATTCAGGAAGCCTGGTTTATCTGTCACTAATATTTAAGATAAGATAAGATAAGATAAGATAAGATAAGATAAGATAAGATAAACCTTTATTGTCATTGTACAGAACACAAGGAAATTACAGTTCAGAATAATAGATTATAGATAATTTAGATTCATATTCCTTAGTTTAAACAGATAAAAAGTTTAAACAAAGTGAAATCAGGATAAAAACTAAATGTTTGTTTATTAATCAGTTTAAACGATGTGGACCAGATGATTGGTTCTGATTGGATCAGCTGATCTGRTTGGTTCTGATTGGATCAGCTGATCTGATTGGTTCTGATTGGATCAGCTGATTGGTTCTGATTGGATCAGCTGATCTGATTGGTTCTGATTGGATCAGCTGATCTGATTGGTTCTGATTGGATCAGCTGATCTGATTGGTTCTGATTGGATCAGCTGATCTGATTGGTTCTGATTGATCAGCTGATCTGATTGGTTCTGGGTGTTTGTTGTTCTTTAATCTGAATGTAAAAACAATAATTGAATAATAATCTTCAAACAGCAGCTCAGAGATGATTCGTCTCTGTCAGCTCTGGTCAAACCTCAGGTTGGTTATGAGATATTTTACTAACAGACGTCCTGATTTTCGACTCTGAAGCCCCTCAGGACCCCCTGTGTGGAGCTGAATAAAAGCATCAAGCAGAAGCTCAGTGAGAGTAAACCTTTATTTGTGACTCTGTGAGGCGGTTCTGACAGGAAGTGGGTGGTCCAGGGTCACTGTGGACGGTGTCTCCTGTCCCACTCCTCCTGGACTTGGTTGATCCACTGGTTGTAGTTGGACACCTTGGTGTAGATGCCCAGCTTGTCCTTCAGGCCGCAGCCCTCGCCCCAGGACACCAGGCCGATCAGGAACCAGGTGTCCCGGTACAGGGTGACCATGGGCCCCCCGCTGTCCCCCTCGCAGGCGTCCACGCTCTGGCCCAGGATCCCGGCGCACAGAACGTTGTCGGACAGCTGGTGGGGGAACATGTGCTGGCTGCAGATGCTGCGGTTGACCAGCGGGACCTTGATGACGTTCAGCGCCGAGCTGTACTTCCCGTTGTCCTGCTTGCCCCAGCCCGACACCACGGTGACGGTGCCGTTCAGGTGCAGCGCCCGCTCCGCCATGGCACTGCTCGGCAGGCAGACGGGCAGGATGTAGGTGGTGAGCGGAGCGGGCGTCTGCAGGCGCAGCAGGGCGATGTCGTTGTCCACCGTCCGGCTGTTGTAGCTGGGGTGCTTGAAGGCCCGGACCACCGGCAGGGTCACCTCGGACCCCTCTTCCTTCAGGCGCTCGTAGTCCCCTGAAACACGGGTCAAGACCTGAGCATTAGTCCTGGATCCAGACTTTAACCCTTTGTGTGTGTGTGTGTGTGTGTAGGGGGGGTATGCAGAGTCACAGCTCACCCAGCCTGACGCTGAACTTGTTGTTGCCCTCGATGCAGTGAGCGGCCGTCAGGACCCAGCTCTTATCGATGAGGACGCCGCCGCAGTGGAACTTCCCTCTGGCGTTAAAAACCACCACCTGGACACAAACATCAGGAGCTGAGACCTGGACTGAGACCTGGACTGAGACCTGGACTGAGACCTGGACTGAGACCTGGACTGCATCTGTCTGAGGTGTTCATATAGCATGAATGAACAAAGATGATGATGATGATGATGATCACATCTGAGGGTCACTTACCTGCCAGGGACTCTCCCCCTTCCTGCCCACCTCTCCTCCGATGGTCCAGGGCATCGGACCCTCAGGCACGGTCTTGACGTATTCGGACCTGTTGATGAGCAGCTGCCCGCAGGAGGACTTCCCTTTGGGAACACACTTCCTGTTGTTGTTGTCCAGCCTGTACCCCGGCAGACAGCTGCAGGTCCTGCTSAGACCGTCCTCGCTCTCCGTGCACTCGTGGTCACAGTCGCCGTTTTCCACCGAGCAGTTTGTGGCTGTCACGTCTGAACGACAGGAAATGACCTTTGAACTCTGACATGAGGCCTGAGGAGGAAGACTTCCTTCAACCTGAAGGACTCTTACGTCCTCAGCCTCAGATTAAACTCACTGTAGTCGCAGTATTTGCCTTCATAACCATGGAAACAGCTGCAGACGTACTCCTGGAGCTGGTCCACACACACCCCATGGACACACATGTTGGACACACACTGGTTCCCATCTGAAACATGAACACATTACCCACAATCCTCTGGGGTGAGCAGCAGTGTGACGCTGAAGTGATCAAACTGAACTGTTGATGAGCCAAAAGATTAAAAACACTAGCTAAAAGATTAAGAACACTAGCTAAAAGATTAAGAACACTAGCTAAAAGATTAAGGACACTAGCTAAAAGATTAAGAACACTAGCTACAAGATTAAGAACACTAGCTAAAAGATTAAGAACACTAGCTAAAAGATTAAGAACACTAGCTAAAAGATTAAGAACACTAGCTAAAACGAGCTGAACAGTAGCTAAAAGGAACTGAACAGTAGCTAAAAGGAACTGAACAGTAGCTAAAAGATGAACACTGGCTAAATGATGAAGAACACTAGCTACAAGATTAAGAACACTAGCTAAAACGAGCTGAACAGTAGCTAAAAGATTAAGAACACTAGCTAAAACGAGCTGAACAGTAGCTAAAAGGTGAACACTGGCTAAGTGATGAAGAACACTAGCTACAAGATTAAGAACACTAGCTAAAAGATTAAGGACACTAGCTAAAACGAGCTGAACAGTAGCTAAAAGATTAAGAACACTAGCTACAAGATTAAGAACACTAGCTAAAAGATTAAGAACACTAGCTACAAGATTAAGAACACTAGCTAAAAGATTAAGGACACTAGCTAAAAGGAGCTGAACAGTAGCTAAAAGGAACTAACAGTAGCTAAAAGTAGCTTAACACCAGCTAAAATATTAAGAACACTGGCTAAAACGAGTTGAACAGTAGCTAAAATTAGCTAATCAGTAGCTGAAAGGAACTGATCAATAACTAAAAGATTAAAAACACTAGCTAAAAGGAGCTGAGAAGAACAGTAGCTGAAAGGAGCAAAGCAATAGCTAAAAGTTGCTGAACAGTAGCTGAAAAATGAACAGTAGCTAAAAAGATTTGAACACTAGCTAAAAGATTAAGGACACTAGCTAAAAGGAGCTGAACAGTAGCTAAAAGATGAACACTGGCTAAATGATGAAGAACACTGGCTAAATGATGAAGAACACTAGCTAAAAGGAGCTGAACAGTAGCTAAAAGATGAACACTGGCTAAATGATGAAGAACACTAGCTAAAAGGAGCTGAACAGTAGCTAAAAGATGAACACTGGCTAAATG